GGGGGGGGGGGGCGGGGGGAGGTGCCCCCCCCCCCCCCCCACCGGAGGTCCGTCCCCCCCGGGTGTCCCACCCATTTGAAATTTTGAAATGGACAAAAAATATATATACACCAAGTTCAATTATTTTCAGTGCCCCCTGAAAAAAAATTGTGCACCCCCAGGTGCCTCCTCAGCTGTAGCACGCTAGTTACGACACTGCATGATCATGCACAATGTGCTAGGGCGGACGCGACGACTTTGACGTCTCGGTACCACACTAGTCAGTGTCCACAGCAGCCGAAGTGATGAACAGGAAATGTCAGTAATTTAACGATTCTACCTTATGAAATGGTATCAGTGCTAAGGAAATCGGTACAATCTAACAGAAAATCATCATCCTCGTGTTGGATAAACCATTTTGGTAGTAAAAATGGATACAAAATGGTTTTGAATTTTCGTGCACCTTTGGATCGATACGATTTTGGGGTGATTCAAAATTACCTGATTATTCTGGCGGATTCAAAAATATATGCCTAAAATCAAAGCATTAAGGGTGAATCTTTAATTTGGTACTAGATTTTTGTCTCGGAAAACTTATTTTCTATTAAATATTAATTGATGAAATTAGTGCAAAGTTTTGCAAATTCGGTTTTTTTCGTTGTTGGAAAGTGTCCGTAAAATCCACTTTTTTATATTCTTCTGAGATTTACTGTCATTTAAAACTCTTACCAATGGAGGAAAATTGTGTTTTGTTCGTGGTGTCGTGTTTAGATCCTCCCGAAATTTATTTATGCTTCTACACTTTGGTAATTTACGAGGTCGGTCGTTGAAAAAATCCACACTAGAACGGTCGTCTACTTGCACAAAAACCTTGTTGTCTGCTTGACAATGAAGTGCGCATGCGCACCGGTAATGAACGTTGTCTCTATGGGACATGAACGCAGGTGGTCTCGCTTCAACGAGGAGTGCAGCGCAACATTCTAAAAGACATACAACGACGATTACGGTGTTCATGCGCATGCTGTCTGAACATCATTGTATCCACTGATGTTAAACACAAACTCGTGATACGCATGTATCCAATGCGTCTTTTGAGGAAGTATAACTTATCTGCATTTGATACTGTGAGCATGACTGACATTTTGTGATTTACAAATATCGGTTTAATACAAATACTTGACGAGGTAACTTAAACATATACAAGCATAAATGCTTTGCTTTTGATTTCGAGAAGTTTCATACTTCGCCTTGAAGTCTCGGGACGTCTGTATTGAAGGTAGTGGGCGTGGCTAATACATGATCCTCCTACACACATACCCACACACACCCACTTCGGCCTGATTCATAGCCGGTTTAAAAACCACCAGAACCTCGAATTTGTGAAGCTACGTCATGTTCTTGCGTTGTGAATTAGCAGAAGTTGAACACATTTCAAATTGGTCAAGTTTGAAGCCGTATGGATTATCTGACAAAACGTAGAGTCAAGGTCAGGCGTGAATGCGTTCTGAACACAATCTAATTTAATAGTCCTTCCCAAAAAGGGTCACATAAGCTTCTGATACTTAAAAAAAGAATCTCCTTAATCGCCATTCTTTAATGAAACCTCCGATGGCTTCGAAATTTGCAATAACAATGCTTCAAGTCGACACATTATTCAAGGGTTTATGAGGGGTGGTAAGCCGGTTTCACACCCAAAGCCTCGTTGGCCTCGAGATTGATGGTCTCATAACTCGTCGCCATGACTCATTCAGCATGCCGTCTGCCCATATTCATTTACATTACTCCCGCTGCATTGTTCAAACTCAGGCTGGTGGTGCCTCCAATGTAGTTGAAAACAAACATTTCTCCTAACTACAAATATTGTCTCCATAATTCGTGATAAACTGACAACATTTTTATTTACACAAAAGAATCACAACAGCTCTTTTATACCAAATTACCGGTACATGTTGAATTGGACGTATTTGGGATATGCACTTAGAAAAAAAATCCCAATAATTCATCTAGCAAAATTGAAAATGGGCTTAAACGTTCCAACTGTGAGACCTAATCATACATTGTTTTGTCGACACAATCCCATGGGTTACGTCCCACTCTACATTTCAAATCAACAATCAACGCCCCAAACTCCTCATTTTCAGCTCCGAGTAACCTGATCCATGGCACCCTACTAGTAAGATGGCCTTGCATAACACTGATGCATGTAGGGTAGTTTGGTCCGTGCCGATACGAATATTATTACCAGACAGAGGTGAAGAATCATCCAGGGCCAGGCACCATGGTCATCACCATATGATCATCTAGAATAATTAAACGTCATTAATACTTAAGAAGCAAGATATACAAAATAGGAATTTTGAAATCAGCGCACTCGTGTCCCTAAGCAAGATATTGTGCCGAAGTCACTGCTGTCCACCATAGAGAAACGTGCGATTGAGGAATAGAGATGAATTCAGGTCGATGGAGATCATTAACTTGATGCAGCTGCATGCACGTGTCCCTGGAAGTCATCAAAATTTCATTATTAATCTCTGACATTTCGATCTTGGCATCATCGCCTGTATAGGCAAGGCAATGATACAGTTCTCGGTTGAAACGAATTTAAAATGCATTGTATGTTCCTTTGCATTAAGGCCAGTTCATACTTGGCGCAAAAACAAACACGCACGCGAAATTGTGACGTCATAACAAATTTTTGCGCTGAGAATAATATTTGCAGAAGTTGAAAATATTTCAACTCCAGCGAATTTCGCTGCAGTGTCTCATGACGGTCAAATTCGCTTCGCTTACGCCTTTGCGTAAAGTATGAAGCTCCTTTTACAGTTGTTTTCTTGTGAAACCAAACTGTTATGAGACTGATGAAATTAATATTCTATGTCATTTCACGGTCAATTTGTATGATATGCCACTTTGCAAATAGAGCAACAATTAGTTTCTTCCCCAGTCATATTTCAAACCAAACTGTTCGAATGCGTCAAATCCACCCAGCAACGTATTGGTGTGTATATGTATAGCGATAACCCCAAGCAAACAGATCACTTAAAACAGTTTGACAAAGTGGAGTGCAATGTTTTTTCATGGTTCACCAACCGATTATAGATACAGCAAACACCCTATATTCTCCTGGTGAAAGCTTGACTTTTTTCACACAGGACCCCACCTTCCTAATGAGACATCCTGTCGATGAAATGTAGCAAAGTAACAGGAACATTATAAAAGCCACAATAGGACCAAGACAAGCTTGAGTACTGCATGCACTGTCCTTATCAAGAAACTTCGGCCTTTGCAAAATGCCCCTGTGCATTGGTGAAGCAAGCAGCCCGACTCAGCATGGACCCCATCGCAGAATAATTAGACCATCAATACTGCATGGGAGCCAGGGGACATAAAAAGTGATGATGGACCCCGCAACCATTCCGAGGGGACGCTGGGTGATGGCTTTGCGTGCAGTGGGCTTCCAAAGGCACGGAGCAGCGTGGAAGCAAAGGGTAATGTGGGGGGAAGGTTTGGATTTTTCGATTTCATGATGACAACCCAGGATTTACAGTAACTAGTACAAGCTGAATGAAAATACAGAAATCTTATTATTAAGAAAGTGCATCATGACGTGAAGTTAATATCATTCTCCTCTAAACGAAACGCCTTATCTCAAGTGCTTTTAAATTGGCATTCTGAGTTTTTTACACTGCGGTTTTTTAAGCGTATGGTTGGGGATCTTGCTAGTAGCAAAATGCATTCGAGGACAAACAGGAGTCAAAGTGTGGTAACGTTGGTGATATATGACGTGACTTCCGCAATGAAATCATAAGGGTGCATATACCTTTCTTAATGAGCAGCGAGCTCTCTTCATAGCACTGCTATTCTGTGTGTGAACGTCTATTCCACAGAAAGAATGGAGGCCTTGTAAGAAACTCCGTGTACTCACCTTTTTGCGCCATTTCGAAACTGTTTGAACTACTGACAGATTTGACCAGGCAAGCAAACTGGAAGGAGTCGTTGAGGCCATTCTGATAGAAAATGGCCCGCTTAAAACCCAAGAAGGAGGCATTTGGGTTGTCAGCAAAGATCGCACCTGCAAACGAGAAAGGTATTATGTATTAGTTCGCAAAGTAAGTTGACGTGGAGAAGAACAATAATTTCCACTCGAATGCTCGACTGTCCAAGATCCAACACAAATCCGTATTTCACGTTTGTTCACTGCCGTGCCTTTGTGTACCACTTAGTTGACAGTTAGGGCATACGCGCTCGATCACTTGTGGTAGATTTCGAGGCAGACGACGTCGAACACTTCTTTTCGCGGAAAGAGACCATAATTTAACAAAATACAAACAAATGAGTTCACAGAGATAACCTGATAACTAAGAACATGTTAGACAGCATCAGACAACTGTATCAAATGAACCCAGTTGCACAAAATTAGAAAAAAATTAGAAAATTTAGTAAAAAACAAACACGACCAGATTTGAAAGAAAATGCGTCCACGGTCTTACCCATTTTAAAACCACTTCTCTAGTTTATCAAAATAAACGACACAAAGTGCCGTGTGTATTAAGACCCGTTAACAAAATCGGTAGTATTTTCAAGTTATTGCAAATTGAATATTTTTGCGCGAGAATCATTTGTCCCTAGTGGTGCGTTGATGGAGTACATGTACTGCACGTGTACGAAGTGCCTACACATGTGCACACATAAATCATGGCCGACTATCAGTCGACAGAAAGCCAAAAATGAAACTGATCAAACTAACGACGGACAATTTGCAATATCGGGGTGTTAATAATTATAACACCCTTTTTCAAACACTCTTTCAGTTACCAAGATGCAGCATGTGTGGAAAAACTGGAGAACAATTCAAAATTTCGAATTCACAATACCTTTTTCGATCAGAAATGTAACGTACACAGACATCTTTCACCCCATTTTTCCGAAATGTCTCTTATGAGTTATTACAAAATGAAATCTGAATACTGGTTATATTTCTCTGATATGTATTTAGCAAAGTTTTGCACAATGGGGAAGATCTCTGCAGGTGGATTTTGGTACAGTCGTTTGGTGGCTGACGTCGCCATTTTAACAAACAGAAACTGACCACAACTTTGCAGAATTTTAGCGCATGCGCACAAACTAAGTGGAAGAGGTGTACATACGCGATTTGCACAGTGCACTGACTTAGCAGTCGTAAAGCCACTAATCGCGCATGGCGGAAAAGCTGTCAATCCTGCCAAGCAGTCGCTCTATGTACTGTTTGCATGGCTACCATTTTGCAAGCTCTGCTTTTATTTCACAGGGCATGCTTAAAGGATGTTTCCCTGTGGAACAAAAGAGCTGCCCTGCAAGATGGCTACCACGCAAAGCCTCAATTAAGCAATAACTTCGGTTACTCAAGAATAGAAAGTAAATGAAACCGACGTCTGCCAGTATCTTGAGATTTATGGCGAGAAGCAAAAATCTTTATTAACCGTCTGAAGAAACGAGAGGAACTTGATAATATAGTGTTTCGAACTCCTTTCTACCTTTGTCGCCGTTTAACAGGTAGGGCCTACATGAATCTGGTTTGCATAGGCCGCCTCTAATTGGTGTCATTTAGATGAACCGAATTTCACAACTCGATCATGGCTTTCAACCAAATTCACATAACGTTTTACAATTAAGCAATCGCTATCTCTTTCCTAACCTTACACGAAATTCACTTTTTGAAATTTGTCTTTATTTTTCCTCAGTCTTTTTTATTTTTTTTTAAGTAAGTAATACATACACGGGACTAGAACCAAAATTTCACAAGGTAATACATACAGAGTTGTCAAACATTGATATCACTCCGTACATCAGCACAAAGGAAATTCGGTCAACCGGTCATTCCTTTTTTTTTCTAAGCCACCTGCAGATGTGTTCTTCAGGACAGTCTAAGCGTCAAGTCCGTACCTTTAAGGAACGAGAAGTTACCGCCAGTATGACAGTTTGGCTCTTCGCCTCGGTTTCACGCCTTTGCTCATTCATTATTCATGACCAGTCCTATTGGAGGATCTACCCCCGTGTAACAGGAGCGCATTCACCTCACGGATGGCGACCAAGACGAGCCTCAAGATAATACCAAGCTGACATAACTTCAACATATGATACCATATAGTAGATATCACACACAATGCAAGGCACACATCCTCCTCATAGCGGATTCGCATTCACGTAAAAAACTCTCAAGCAGGAATATTACCGTAGTCTGCAAACGCGTCCAGGCGTAAGGAGTGACTGAAGCGGATGCGGTGGCTTATAAGGCGGCTCTTAAATTATGCACAGCTTCTAATTAATGGAAACAATTAAAGAATAATAAGGCTGCCATCTATATTTCAACGGCCGAGTGCTGTGAGATGTTAAATTTAGTGGCAGCTTGCAGCGGAATGTCCTGGTGATTTATGGATGTGAATTGACATACTTTCGTTTCTTGGAGTGGGCTGTCTGACTAAAATGAACGGGTGTGTGAAATGACATGGTCCTGAAGACAGTTGACAGACAATACATTGACCCTTTTTATTCTTTTTCATCTTTTAACTATGATCTTCCTATGATAACGGAACATGAAACATGCAGGGTTGCCTTTCAAACTCGTGAGAATTGATTTACATTATTTGGTGATAGAAATATTCTATGTTTGCATTTTCCCCTAAACCAACGGCGTTCATTGAGTTCCCATGTTTAAAACCTGCCGATTTTGCGGGGGGGGGGTATTCTTCCAAAGTGTTATTAATTTGGGCTACAGTAACTTCTGTGGGTGGTTTGGTAAACTTTGCACCTTCCCTCTGTTTTTGTGAAATTTCTTTGCGATAGAATCTACTCTAGAGGGCTCTAATGGTTGAAATACAGTAATGTCAGTAAGTGCACTCTTAGAATTTGCCTATTTTAGAGTACTGAGTGCTGCTTCAATCATAGTTCCTACTTTTATCTAAATTGTTCAAAGACCTAGACCCAACGACTAAGTATGGATCCAATTAGGGATCATACGTTATGGAAAGTCTATTTCAGTGTTAGACGTGGCTAACACAAAATTGGAAAGAGTGAGATGATTACGTTGTGCTTCAGTGGGATTTATATAGCACTGACATTTGAAAATTGCCAGTCCTTTGTGGGCAATTTCTTCAACTGCAACAAATGCAATTTTGAACGGGAAAATGATACAAATCTCAAAAAGCCCATCGTCATTCATTATCACTTAATGGTTTACACCTTAGAGGGAAAAACTTTAAACACCCTGGCAGAGCAAATAAATGCTTCCAGATGCCCAAGGTTACCCTGAAAGGCGAGACATGAGACTTCCAACAGATTTCAGTTTCGTCTCACAACATTTTAATGGCAAAAACAGCCGGGGAAGGAGTCAGACACTAATAAGTTGATGCATGTATGAATCATTCGCGCTGAACACTCCATGATATCTATCGTGCATGAATTCTCTCGATTAGGATCACTTCTCTCGATTCTGCACGGCTGCCCTTTCAGTCCGACCTTCATTTCACACCACACATTCATATTTGCTCCTTTCCAAATTAAGAACGTGCTGTAGACAGAAATCACAGACACGACGGCCGTTATTAATGGGATATGACATCCATACAACTCGGACGAAATCTATTTTTTTCTAGTGAGACAAAACTGCCACTCCTTTCAAGATGACATCTGTGAACCGAGTAGGTGATGCAATCCAATTCGACTGATTTCAACAAGCTCAAACTCTTGCCGCTTTCACACACAAAGGTAGAAATATAATTTATGCAACAGTAAGTGATGAACGCGGATATAAAACCACCACAGCTCTCATTCCTTACAACACACCACGGATCATTCTCAGGCGACTGTCATATGCGAATTTGGCATATTATTAAACGAACTTTTTATGGAAGATATTAATTTAAAGATTATGATGACTGAGGCTTTCATTAGGGCGTCAAAAGTGCACACGTGTTTTTTTTTTTTTTTGCAGAAAAATTAAGCCCAGAATCACCCAAAACCTAAATATATAACTATAACAGAGACTATACAAAAAGTAACAAAATTTTTCAACAACACAGTGACCACGAAAACGGAAGTCAATGTCATTGTTAAGGCAAAAAGAATAAACTAATACGTTACCTATTTGGATATATGGTAAACAGGTCACCTGGCAGCGTGCTATCAAACAAAACACACAGATCAATGGAAACCAACTTCCCGGCTGAAGAGCTCGACTCGTCCCCATGCCAGACAGGAGAGTGGGGAGTTGCCCGCACGGCGACAAATCGACAGAGGCTATCTTGGTGTCACACTTAGGGATGGAACACACGATCTTTTGGGGGGAAAACAGTCTTTTAGTCCACCATGCGTTTTCCACTGAACTGGCTCCAAGCTCCCGCAGTGTCGTATTCCGCTCGCATTGCATTCGTACAGGCTCGGGCACCGTGCCGTGTGAATTGGAAATTGGACACGAGAAAAGATGGCCGTACACTGGATAGCAAGGGGCTGAGAGCACTTCGCAGGCAGAGAGATGCACACGGTTCGCCGGCTCGATTCGTTATCATCCGCTAACGTCCCCGGGGGACTTGATGTTATAACTCCGTCAAGAAGCCAAAACAAGTTGGCTGGTTGGGGGAACGAAGCCAGTTGGAGTCGACGACAATATCAAAAAGAGAATCGATACCCGCGTGTATAGAAACCCAAAAACTTAAGCAAGTCAGCGAAAAGAGTTTTATTTGGGAACATGTTCCTGCGACTTTCTGTTTCTCTGAAATGTATGGAAATTGTTTGCCGTCCAATTGAAAAATACACCTTTAAAACATTTTAAAGTGCATGCTTTTCCTCAAACATGCGGGGGCTGCTCTGATCTGGTCTGCAGGTTCATGCACACGCACAACTAGTCAAAGAAAAGAAAAATTGAGTGAGCAAAATAATAATAAAAGAATTCAAAAGTAATCGCAACATTGTCATTCTTTTCTGAAATGACATTACGCTTCTCATAAATACACAGAAATTTGCACTAGCATAAAAATACAAAATGAAATTTTGAGTTTTGAAAAATAATTGTTGTACTGACTGCACACTCGAATACTACAGATGAGGAAGTTTCAGAATAGGAATTTAAACGTTGTTTACTCAAGAATGAAAAGTAAATGAAACTGACGTCTGCCCCAATGTTGTGATTTATGGCGTAAAGCAAGAAATCTTATTAACCGGCTGAAGAAACGAGAAGGATTTCAGAATTCAATGCAGTTCATTTTCTGAAATTAGCATTACTTATTGCATAATTATTTCTTTGGTTATTAATAATTTTTTCCCAAGTGTTTAAAGCACCACCCTGCAATTGTCTTATATCCGTTAAACTAGCTCCATCGTAAACACCAAATCGAAACATAATTAATGGACTCACGGGCGTCGCTTGACCATTTTTAATGGAGGGTGCCATCAGGGCATTTTTCCGTTTGCAAATTTTTCGAGTGCAACGGTGGTCTGGCTTCCCGGCCTTGTACCCACGTGACCTCCCTCTTTTCTTCTCCTCTTCCTATTCCAATTTTACCCAGCGCCATGCGTGATTTTGCCAACAAAACTCGATTGGACTGGAAATTGGACTCGATTTAAAAGTAATCCACTTTGTATATCATCGAAAAAGTGAGCTTAGACGCCATCACCCATTAACCGTTTCCACCTGAAGGATTCATATATCTCACACCTTCGATGACATAAGGCTACGGTGATATCAGGCAAATTCTTTTTTCTTCGTCTGTAGCTCCCGTTCCGCTCTTTCCAAATGCAGCCCGGCACTGAGCGAGAGCCGTGTCGCCGCGCGGCCGCTCTGCTTGATCGCGTTCGCCACTCAGTGATGCATTCGCTTTTGGCACCGTCATGATTGATCTGGGGTATTCGTCCTTTTAAAGGTGCGGATTACACAAGGAATTTGCGTTTTCTCAAAGGAAGAGGTAGTTTGGCACAGTTAATACCCGGAGTTTCCATTCTCAATGATAACCTTGACATACACATAAACATGTAGGCCTAATATTATTAATTTTGTTGGTCTCGAAAATGTATGAACCAATACAGTTTCCAGGAACGGCAAGAGAGATATTTCTTGAAATACAGTGTATTTATTTCTCAAAAAGCATATTACATTTCATAACGAGAGTCGGATTGTTCAAAATTGTATTTACCTGCACCTGTGATGTCACGCTGTCCATTAGCAGGTCCATTATTTGCGCAAGAATGGATCTATGCAAGGAGACATCTTCTCTCCAATATTTGGAAGGCAATGGTCTTCACAACTCCTTGACGGAGCTGAAAAGCAAATAGACGGAGCCAAGCACTTGAACAATTAAGAAACTAATCATCGAACAGCAGATAAATGTAAAGAAATTTAATATCTAAATCTATATTTCGCAGTGTACAGCGAAAAATCATGACAGCAAAAACAATGACACGTTTCTAAACCCGTTGAATCTTCAATAAGTTTGAAACGATTATTCCAGAACTTTGTCATAAATGCTAAACTAACGGTGGCCTTCTTTAGAAATCATATGCCTTTTTTTGCTGTTTGTTTCTTTGCAATAATCAAAACAATGTAATGTATGTGTCATAACTTTATAAGACATTTAATCCGTCTAACTAAACACTAGCCAACTTTAACTGTGCACACTCGTCAATTTGGTAAGAGTTTCCCTTGCAGTGACATGTCAGCCATCAGAAAGTGATAACATGTCCTAAAATTTCAGACTTAACCAGAAAAATACTGAAGTTGTTTACCCAGAAAAATTTGAATTTTTTCAGACCAGTCTCATTGTGTTTGTGCACACAGTGTCGAGTGATGTCTGTCTATGAAACTCTATACGTTAATTTTTATCATAAAGAAAAGTAATTTAGCTGTGTGAAATAACGTCACTTCAGTGAAAAGATACCCTCAATGCTAAACAATAGTTATTCTCAGGAAAGAGCTTAAACGTTACCTTTTTGTGCCCATTCTTGCTGTGTTCTTATCTCCTTTCAGAACAGTCAGATTCAGTGACTACTCTCTTGAGGGAAAGTGACGTTGTCAGTGTTATTATATGGCTCATCACCTTATTAGACCGGAGACTATGGCCTGATAAGGCCAACATATAGCTACGGAATCATCCGCACTTGTCACTTTCTGGCGACCGAAATACATTTTGTGTGACAAAATGTGTCGCTATTACTACCACTCCAACTGCACGCCATGCTAGCACCACATCCTTAACTTAAGAATGACGCACTTCGCTGTACACTGGCTTAGGCCTATTTATACGACAGACTGCCTTATTTTGAACTTACGTAACAACAAATCCCTTGTCTTTCTGTTAAATTCTTTTAAACACATTGGCTCATTCATGCAAAATAATGGAGCAGTGGACACGGTTACTGGACACCGTAAGTTGCATGATACCCACCGTGTGTGCCATGTGGGTAAAGAAGGCTGCGTACCTCGGGCATTATTATCCTTAACATATTGTTTAAGTAAAAAAACGAAAATTACTTGCTTAAATTTGGACGCAAAGTACATTTGCTGTACTCAAATTAAACTGCAGGCGATGCTACATTGTCCATAGAAATTAACCTACGGCCCTCTCTTAAGCCGCAGCCCACATTTGGACACAGCATCTCTTGTTGTTGACGCCCTCTTGTGACGTAATCTGTCTAGTGCCATGCCGTGAAGAGATTTTACTTCCCCAACAGAGAGATTTCTTGCGGACTGGAATGCACAATTTTCAGGTTTCGTCGACAACGAACAATGTGGGTGATCGCTAACTGTTCGTGGAGAACGAAACCCGCAGACTATGCACTCTGAAATGTGTCACACATCGACTCATCCAAAGACGTCAGTCCGAGTTGACCATGACCAATGGCCATATTTGATACAATGGGTTCAAATTCTGAATAAATCATGCAGATAACAAACAACTTCAACCACTCTTCATTTTGCCGTCACACGAAATCCACCTTTCAAGTCTAATGCGCATCTGACGATCAGAACAGCTGATACAAATTATTGCTTTTAACCCACTAACGAATTTATGACCAAAATATCACTATGCACTATGGAACAAACAGCATTTCATTATTATGCATCACATACGAGTGTTAGTTGGATCATGCTTGATCCAAATTTAATTTGCTGCTTACTTAATACGGACTGAGGGGGGGGGCATGCATCAAAAGCTTGAAGTATATAGTGTTTTAATAGTATGGGCATTTCGAGCCTTGTGCATCTTGATGCAGCCTTCTTTTACACTGCTTTGGGTAATGGTTGAGGTTGTTAAAACCCACAAACCACCCGGGCGTGTCATTTTTAAATAAAGGCACCCGTCATCGCCTTAGCAGCGCAGCCCCCCAGGCGCGGCTTCCCCTCATTCATTCACACAATGGAAGCGAGACAGATTTTTTTGTCTGTGCTGCTCTGACTACACACATCACGCACGTCCGATAAACCACACTATTTTATAACGTTACCCGCTACAAAACAACCAAAACAGCGTTTCAATCCACCGGGTGGTATTTCCCCACAACGTGCAAATTTCGGTTGGTCTTTAAGGGGCACGTTGTGATAGATTTTCGGATTTTACTCTGAATTTTACCCGGTAGCGTCGGCTTGATTAGGGTACACTGACATGGGTGTTCCGGCCGGCTGGACTGCGACTAAATACGCCCATCCGTACAGCTGCCATACCTTCCAATCTATGTGTGCGTACTGGCTGATAACAGAACTGTACGTTTATGCGGCTCCAATGCCGGGCAAGTTTAGTTATCTTCCACGTACAAGAGCCGTGTTCACTAAATTGTTTATTTGGGTGTTTCCCAGTGCCGTTGAATCGATACGAGGGGACAGGGTATTCAGGTTCTGATGAAGAAGGAAGCAGGGATACTCGATCAAATGGGATTCGCTGTTTGCAAGGTTGTGTACATATCTCACGAGATTCGATTCAGCCGAGTCAAGTTGGCGATTGGGGTGTCAGTCGGAGAATCGAATTTTTGCTGCAATCGATTGTCACTGGATCCTATTACAATGAGTGGCGCACTGTCAAGCAAGCAGCGGTAGTATGTCCACTTGTATTTCGGACACACACGTTTTTATAAAGTCTAGGTCATTTTGTTTTTAACAGTGATGCTCATGTTGTATTCTAAATCTCAATAATTATAAATCTCAAACTATCAATAATATTTGAGTTGCTTCGTGAGGCACTTTAACGTGAAACCTGAAATAAATTCGGGAAACAAGGTGCCAGTTCCCCCCCCCTCCAAAAAAAAAACCAACCAAGAATTGTAAGTGTTCTTTACTTACGCTTTTGTGGGATACATTTCCTAATGAATTGTATCAAAATTAGGTTTCGCTGTATAAGGTAGCACAATTATCTACTCAAAGTTTTTTTCTTTAATTTGTGTCTTAGACACAGGAGGAAAACACAGATATTATGTATCGAACGCCAATATCTTTTACATCAAAGTGCCATCTTCAAAACTGCGTACAAATTCTGAAAGATGTAGTCAAAGCCTTTTACAACGTTTGAAGTATCTTGACGACTACTTACCTTGAAATGTGGGAAAATACTCGAAATGCAACAAACCTGGGTGGACGACACGACGACATCCATACCTTCCCGTTCTCCGCTGACAGCCAAACAGACAGCTCTGTCAGCAAAGACAGGGATCCGCCGCTGTTTATATATATATATTTCCTTCGAACAAAGACACCGACGACAGACGAATTGACGGAGGCCAACCCGTCTTCGCCGGGCCGAGTCTGTCCCAAGGTCGGTAAGCCATTGTCTCGGGGCGGCTGATATCGAAAGCGCATCCCTGTAAAAAAGCCCTTCAACGTCACCATCGTAGCTTTGTGCAAAAAAATGATTAATATCACCCCCGCTTGGTTGTGTTTTAATTATACCCTAATGATGATTAGACGACAATACGGCGGGAGGGGCGGCAATATTGGTATTTCATAGTCCAACACGTGGCCCGTGCCCAAGATATAATGAGGACATATAGCAGAAAATTTAATTGACTGTTGTCAATGCTGTGTTTTTTACACGTCACTTTATCCATCCAGTACACAGACTGGAGGAGTAATTAATAGTTGGTATTTTATTAACTGCACTTCGGACATTGTGGCTGAATTGTGCATAGTAGCTGGCGTGTAACAATCCCGCAGTAAATAAATGGAGGAAGTAACACAGGCCTTTGTCATATTTATTTTTCTTTATATATACATCTCTAACGTTTCGGTATTTGGACATAACAACAAAGACGTCCGGTTATAAGACCAGCGAATTAGTGAACAGCGAGATTTTATCCTTCAAACTATCCGCGCTGAATATGGTCTGGACGTTTGACGTCACAGCTGTGTTTCTCCTACAACTGGCTGCTAAAAGTATGGTTGGCCGTCGGTATAAAATTCACAAAGAGTTTTAAAAAATCCCACACAGCTATCAGAACATTAGACAATAATAAATACTCCTAAATACGAAATGAAAATACAACCTGTTTCAAATGAATGGGACAAAATGATGTCGATTTCGAACGAACTTGAGGTTAATCAAAAAGCAACCAAAAGGTGATATTCCTGCAAACTTTGGCCGCCTATACATGTTGTAGGCAAAATTAGAGTCGAGTGGTCGGTATGTTTTATTAAGAATTGTCGGTTTTACCCTCCAAACTTTATAACAAATATACATGAAAAACGGATGTAACTGACAACGTTTTTGCACGCGTGGAATGTTGGTCGAGGGGCGATGCGCTGAAGGAAGAAATGAAACAATGGGACACATACAGCACTGTACGTCGCAACAGTAAGATTACCAACGGGTGCGACTAGCTATAATCCATTCACTCTCTGTATTGCCTTCAAGGAGTACCTTTTTCTCCCCAAATCCCGGCTCTGTTTCCGTCGCCGGCTTCAGCAACCTTTCAGAAGTCATCTGGTAGAAGCACTGCACTATTGCCATATCATTGGACAATCCGATGCGTGAAGTTGGAAGTGGGGAGTTGACGCCGGCTTCAGACTTTGGGACTAATTTAAAAATGGCTGTTTATCATGTGTGCAGCACACCATGCAGCTATTGTGTGCTAATTGGTCAAGGGAACTGACACATAATTTTACAATTTAATTCCAACATCTGAGACACTCCCGTCGCACGTATTTCCATAAACGGGTCCGTACATATGTACATCTGCAATACGTTTTGCACTTCTGTAGAACCTCACACCAAACGGTGACGTGTTTTATGGCTCTTTGAAATTGTTCCTTGTTTTTTTTTAGAGCTATTGGTAGTTAGTCCGAAACACGATCTTCACAATCACGCCATAAATTTGTTCTCACCACGAACAAGTGAGGGATGATACCTCCATCGCCCTGGATTTACGCCCATGGCATTTTTCGAAGCTGTTTGCGGCCGTGATCAGCACGCGAGTTGGGGACTGATCTTGTGCGAAGGACGTCAATCAGGAGAAAAATTACTGCTGCCCATGAAGAGCGCCCTCATACAAGAACTGACTCAGAATGTCACTCGTGGGAAATTTTATTTTAAAGAAAACATACAGTAAAACAGAGCTGCAAATAAACCTGAACAAGTCGAGTCCTGAAAACCGCAGGTTCGTCAATAATATTCTTAGACTTGCCAAAGACGACTGTATGCGATTGGAGAGACCACGTTTGGAAAATAAATATTAGTGAATAGTTGTACACTATACGAACGGAAAAGGCAACCAATTCTGAGGACTGTTGTTGTACTATCATCTACAACATCATTCACTCTGCTGCCTTAAAACAGGTGTTTCCTCACCTCAGGCATGAAAATTTGAGGAACATTCATGTGTTTTGGTGTCTGGAACGCTTCAAGGCTATTCATTATGGCTCGCCGCAGCAAGGATCAATAACAAACATTGTCAAGGGCAAATGTTGAACTTGTCATTACCATTATTTTTTCATCCCAATTTATCGACTTCTTTTTTCGTTGGTGCATAGATAGGTTGCCATATCAACAAAGGCTCCAATGCCGTTCTTATCACCGGCTGAGTTCGGGCGGCTTGTTCTCGTTTGTTCACGAACAGCTTGATGTGTTGTTCGCGGGTCGGTCGCTCGAACGCCGGAAATGTACAGCCGGTTATTAACGCTAGTAGTTATTTGTGGCAAGCAACATGCAACGTGGCAGCGTCCTTGTGCATTCTTCGAGAGTTAATGTTGGATAACTGGGCTAACTTCTTTTCCATTTAAAAATTCATTTCTGTCATGGAAAATTATTAATGTTATTATTGCAAAACATTCTATTGTCTTCAGCTTTGTAAAGCCATATCGATACTTTTTCGGCTGTCCAAAAATCAAATCTCACGAGTTTTTCCGTGTGTTCCTGTAAAATCCTGACGAGGAGGTGGTGTGTGATCCTGTCCGAGAACAGTGTTCTTTGGTCGTGTTCCCGCCGTTCGAGCGCGAGAACACGAAGCCCATGTCAAGAACGGACCGCCCGAACTCGACCACTGTGTTTGATGTGATTCCCTTGAAACGCACGTCTAAAAGTATTGTTAATGACTGGTTGGTTGCGAAGTTCGTTGCGTTGTTTATCGCACGAGGGCGCTATAGCTGTGCGCGTCGACAGGCTGAGTGCAAATCACTTGGCTACGGCTTGAAGTTACACATACTCTATAGGAACTGACTGCGGCCTCTACCATAGACCCATGTGTATTATCAGGCCATGTAATGTGGCCTGACGGTTTGATTTCCTGACGGTTTGATTTCCTGACGGTAGAAAAGTCTGTTCTTAGATTTTTTTTGGTATGCGGGGGAAAGACCAAGACACAAATTATCAAGAAAATCCTTTATCATAAAGGTAGGTTCAACCAGTCAATTCTTTGGTACAGATTTTTGTGGATTTGTAAGACGAAACATCCTACAAATGTTTATTCTTTTCCCTTTCTTGCCCTTCATCATCTTAGTTGTCATTAATATTTTTCCACCTTCATTTGCTTTTTTCTACTAGCCGCTCTATCCACTACTGGAAATGATATTCAATAATGTGAGCGTAGTCGTGGTAATGAAGTTGCCGAACAGGATGAAAATGCGTTATGTTGGGTCGTGTCTGACATGCGCGGTCTAGCATTCTGCATAAAAACCTAATACGATTAAGAGCTGTTTAAAACAGCATTACGGGGAAAAGGTTATTTTAATGAACCACGAGAAGTGGTTTCAAAGCGTAATCCACTGTGAAGGTCAAGTCGGGTTCAGTCTAGGAAGCGACTCACCGGCCAATGTCACCGGGCAATTGGCTTATTGCTGTCAGGTCACTAACCTCCAAATGCCACGACGGAGAGGGGGTTGATGACTAAAACTCCGTCTGAAATCGACTCTGTTTTTGAAATGGTGTGAGTGGCTAGTTTTGCTGAAACACTGACGCGTCTTAATGCCGTTGAGTCAACCCATTGGCAGTCATTTATACTTTGCCTGACATTACTGCTTGGATATGAACATGCGAGCAAAATGTTTACTCAAATGAGATGGTCTTGATATTTCTGCAGGAAGGTTGGGGAATTCTTTAAACGGCCGCATCTGAGAAGTTAAAAAACGAGTCAAATGTTTCCAGAGCTCATAATTATCGTTGTAAAAATAAGAGCGCTGCCGTAAGACATGTATGTGATATCATGCAGCAATTGTATATTTATTTCACTTTTTCATGTTTATTTATTGCATGTGTGGTTTCACATCCATTACTTTGATTGTAATTTGAAAATGATAGGCTGATCTTGTTATTGAGCCAGATCCCGCCGATATGTTTTTTTCCAAATATTTTGCTATGTTCGCCTTAAATGCTGACGAAAAAGTTGTCAAATCTTTATCTTTTTATTTTTTGGTTACAACCAACTTCTTTTCATATGTGACTTCGTACATGCTGGCGTCCTTCAAAGTCAAATAGAATCTCGTACAATAAACGTCAGAAAATCGAATCAAGCGACTTCAACCCTCCTCCTCCACTTTGTGTTTTCACATTACCCGTTTGTCAGTTTTCCCTTCCAGTTGATCTGAGAAATATCAACAAAAGGTTGAGGTGATGCTATTCGATCCGCGCTTTCACTAATCTGTAATGATACATCGATTGCATTGCGCGGTGAGTTTCCAGCTTTCGACTTATAATTTTTGAGTCTATTTAGCTCTACATTAAACTTGAACTTGATTGAACTCGGGCATATAAAGTTGATTTTTGATTTTTCTCCATCAGTGAGAGACCTTGGGCTGTCGTAATTTAATATTAAGGATGGGCCTTGGACAGCTTCAAGGAGGGGGTCATTCACCGCACTCGGTATCACCAACCTACCCTCAGCCACAACGATGGACGGGACATTTTAGTCCCTAGCAGAAAGATTTCATTTGAACCAAACATGGAAGAAAGGCGCAATTTAAGATAATGAAAATGTTTTGGATGGCATAATGACAGAGTACACATATAATTATACACAAGCATTTTTAACCGTTCTTCTTTTTTGGTTTGGTAGTTTTTAGTGAACGGTTGTTGTCACATGGCAAAGATCAATTATTTTTACAGCGAGATGTTCAGCGTATTTACAGTGCAATCATTCTCTTGGCTGTATTCATTTTTCAAAAGCGGTGTATTCAACTTGACTGAAATTGGGCTTTGTTGAATTTTCGTGTTATTCCCGTCGAATCCATGCCCACTGTGCGCGGATCGGTTCGCGTGTTCCATTGATAAACATGTATACTAGTAAACCGGCTACTGAGCTTATTGTATACAATGCATTTATGATCGAGCGCGATATGATAAGCTGTTGCCAAGGCTGTATACAATAGATGCATGCAATTCACAAAATAGAAAAAAAAACCACATTTGGCGCCAGTTCGGGAGCCTTGGGCAGGGGCTTGCAATATTGATCACCCATTGTATCGCTATTGTTCTCTGCTGCAGGTTAATTTCTCAGTGCTCAGTGTGCGCGCGTGACAAACAAGTCATTAGTTACCGGCCTTCTCGTGGCAGTAGAGGTTGGCTGCGCGAGAGGGGGAAAAAAGGATAAACATGTCAGAACAAGGAGGCAGAAGTAAGATGTTGGCAAGGTCAAAAACGTGGTGCCTTATTATTGCATAAGCAAGCTGTGTGTAGTGAGAAGGAGGCCGGTGTACAACATGAAATGTGAACGCGATTGGAACTGACCTCTTTAATGAAAGGGGATCTTTGAAGGTTGAGTCGATGCATTTTTTTCGCAAAAGGCATCAGATTTAAAAGAAATGTCACAGCTCTCACGAATATTCATTTAACCTCCCATGTTATTCCACTTGGCAATCTCAGTAAATCTAGTTACCATCTGCAAGTATTAAAGATGCATACATTTTCAGTGGCCAAATATCAAGTTTGGGCAGGGCTTGGTCAAATTCGAGGATCAGCTATCTGTGTCCTTTTAGAGGACGCATTAACTGCACCGGTCTTAAATGAATGCACCTTTGGGCCAAGTTAGAAGTACTCTGAGGACAGAGGTTGTGGCATTATGTTTAAAACATGTAAAACATAAATATCAGCCACAATAAGGCAAGTTTCCTCATACAGTAATTACTGGCCTGTCGAACAGGGGAAACAACATGCATTTCAATTCATGAACGTCTTTCCATCAGAGAACGTTTGAAAAACACTCATACAAATTCCTTGTGTCTAATATTACCAAACGCCAAAACGGCCATAGATTCTTATGCGCACGCACGATAGCACCAGCCAACATGGAGTAAACCGGGGCATTTACGTCACTAATGTTACGGCAAATCAAGTTGGAGTCATTATGCACAGGCTTGGGGAATGCAGTAATCCCAGCGCTGATTATGGACATGCTGCTGCTATACAAACGTGAAGTAAACACTTGAGATCTTTTTTTTTTTTTTTTTTGCTCTCTAGCCTTTTCCCTCTACGTTTTCTCTCTTGTTGACTACGGTGGGCCTGACTCAACGTCGAGGGGAAAATTTACTCAGCTGTCGGCGGGCAGGGGAATTGTGGCGCTGTGGCCCGATCGTGGTCAAGCACTGAATGCACATAGATGCCTCGAGCAGAACTGTCTGTGCCATTTTTGCAGCCGGTGCGGTAGATAACATGTTTTATCGTGTTTTAATACGAAATTCGATAGTCGGCATTCCCTAAGGTGCAGGTGCAAATTTACATATGTGCATGGCTGTTTTTATGAGCTGTTTTGGACCTCCATTGTAAACCTTCCTTTACGCTTGACGAACAATGCGACAGTTGTTCATCAAACTCAAGCTACCTTCCCAAAGAACATTTTAATGAAGCCATTTTCTTTGCATGAACAATACATAATAATAAATTTGTTGTGTTTCTTTCAGTGTACCTCTGAAACAAACTATCGCTGAGGGCTGACCGGTCTGGATTCCCGTTCCAGCTGGTAGAACGCATAGCCCAGGTACTCTGAAAATTAAACTGACCTACTATATTACAATCTTCCGTAGATGTGCATCAGTTGACTGTCACCAAACAGCCTGTAATTTTAAGTAATGATCTGATAACTGACGGCGCTGCATCGTTTTCCCACTTGTCAATGTCATCATATTTCTGTGTTACACTTATACCAAAGAAACACAAAGGGACGAATGAACCCAATGGCCTCCTTTACAGTGACTGGCAGTTCACGAACACCAGCCTATCGATCCCTATCAAGATAATTATTTAGGCCATGTGTGCAACTAATACAGAATTCCTGTTTACGGTACTAGCGTACGCCTGGGATTTCATGCCGAAATTTGCCCACTGTGAAAAGAAAAATGCCGGTACTTGGGAACACGCTGCCGTCACACAACGTCCACAAAACGAGTCCCTTGATAAGTTTACCGCATTAATTTTTCATGTTTTCAAACATTAACAAGGAAACGATTAATCAAAGTATAAAATGTAAAAAGCCCCCACACCTTGCACTAATGCTAGATGCTGACTCGACTTCAACCAATTATCTGTAGGCATTCCCGCACCGCCCAGTGTTGACTCCGATGGCGTGTGCGCAGCGTGCGCGTGCATATTTTATGGATTTTTTTCTCCTTCACGCCTGCTATATATTTATAATAGGTTGCATGGATGGTCCGCTAGCGCGGTGTATTCTTTCTGCTTGTGTGTGAGAGCGTCGGGCTTCCCGGATTGAGTACAACAGAGCGACGGAGAAGTGAAGCTATCGGAGGGAGGTCGAGAGAGGTTAGAAACGTCGTTCACCGTGAACGGAAAGGCGCAGTGCACGGCGACACAACCCCAGTGGAAAAAAGGGGGCTGCTGCACTTTGCCGTCAGTGTGCAGCTGCAACTGTAGCGGGTAACAGACAAACTATTCGTGCTTTTACCCCCTCGATACATCTGGATGAATTTGGGGCTGGCAGGTTCTGAAGCTATCGAGCCAGGGAGTTTACTTGACGTGAGACGCGAAGACAAACATCTCTGATTTCAATTTCCCTTCAATCGACAAATTAAATGTCACACAAGTCACTCGGTGCAGTAACTCAAGCTTCTTTTCCTGTTCATGAGGCTCATGATTCTTTTCTCCCAGAACACCAAGCTTCTACAGTTACTAAGACCCAGGTGCTAAGGAAACCCCTACAAACCAGACGCCATGTCCGCACAAGGCTGGTCGTTGTTACTTTTTCTCCTGCGATTGCATTCAGTTATCGTAGATAACAGGTGCAACTGATGAGTTTGGTGACAGGCGGTTGAAGAGTGCTTCTGCTGGTTGTATAGGGAAAAAGAGAGGCGCTACATAATTCATCTGCCGGGCTTCTGCAGGTCAGGTGAGCTGTCGAAGAGTGATACGGCAAAATGAATGACAGCATCACTCTGTGACAGTTTACCGTGACGTGCGCGTTTGCTGGTGCGTGGTGGGTACACCAACGGTGATTATGTCGCGACAGCCTTAGTCATACCGGGCCTTGCTAGTCCGTGTTCGGCGACTCCAGTCACCACTCGGACGAATGTGTGGACTGTCAGCTGAAGTGGTGATAGGGGGCTCTTCGCTTAAAAATGCTACCGACCAGAGGCTCCTGGGCTTTCGTTTTTGAATATGCCGTTCTCTTGACGCTTACCCAAGAGTTGGTTTCGCTTGGAGAAAAATCCAGCCCCCTGGACAGCGGGGCGGATAACAGCAATTGCTGCCAGACAACCACCCCGTTACGTGGTCTGGACCAGCGCGCCACGTTCTGCGGAGTTCCACTCTTAAGGAGGAACTCCGACGGGGAGTACGTCAGCGACGACTCGTCAAAAATTATCTTCATTGGGGGGCTTTTCCCCCTGTCGGGGACCTCTTTTTCTCGGAATGGAAGGATTGATCTAGAAGCTGCCTGTATGGCCATCGAGCACGTCAACGAGCAGAACTTCATTGAGGGGCATCAGCTGGTAATGTACTACAACGATACGCAGGTAATTATCAGCTTTGAAAGTTTTGCCTTCTGTTTACGATGGCTGAATAGATATGGGTTAGGGTGCAAACGTGTATTTTCACATGAAGTGAAATTTCTATACACCTAAGAATGTTCGAAAAATGTCCACAAGGTTGATGGTGGTCTATATCAGTCACGGGTAGCTACCGATCAATAACACTTCGGTCCTATCGGCCGAGTTCGAGCGGCTTGTTCCTGTATGTTCACGAACAGCTCGATTTGTTGTTCGTGGGTCGGCCGCTCGAACGCCGGGAACAAACAACCGGTTATTGCTGGTAGTTAGTGACAAGTAACATGCAACATGGCGGCGTCCGTGTCGGCTACGTTATTCGAGAGTTATTGTTTGGATGGGCTGAATTCTTTTCTATATAAACAGGAACATTCTTTTCTGTGTTACAGAAAATAATTAATAATAATTTTGCAAAACGTCCCATTGTCTATGGCTTTGGAAGCCATCTCTCTACTTTTGGCAGCTGTTCAAAAATCAAAATTTCGCGAGTTTTTCCGTGTGTTCCTGTAAAACCCTGACGAGGAGGTGGTGTGTGATCTTATTCTGAGAACAGTGTTCTTCAGTCGTGTTCCCGCCGTTCGAGCACGAGAACAAGAAACCCGTGTCAAGAAAACGGCGCCCGAACTCGACCATCGTTTCTTTGTAGTGTCATGAATGCATTGATAAAATAGTTTCTATTGAGTGTGAGGGCACTGTAACTTACCAGACCATCACAAAATGCGCCAGGAGAGACTTGTATACTCTCCTATATATACAGTACAAGACTTAAGATTGATATTGTGGCATGTGTGTGCTTCTTGAGGGCTCACATTCTCTATATTTTTCCCAATGTTACGGCAGTACAAAAGCAATGCTCATGTTGGACATGTGCCTAAAAAATATATATCTAATGAACATTGTCACAAAGATTGAAACAGTTGCAGTATAGATGAAATCCTCTGGCTTTGCCGTAGTAAGAAGCTCTACCATGGCACTGAACTGTCAGGAAGATGACATGTCTCCCTGGACGACTGACAACAGTAAGCTCCAAGGTAGCACAAGCCAAACTGAAAAAATAATACTCCACCCATCTGCAAGCAACTTGCAATTTTATATTAGTAGTTCCGGAGCCCGACTCTTGATTCTAATCTCCTTCTTAGATAGAATACTATTCCCGCCGTTTCTTCCTCTTAACTGACACAACCGAGGCCACCATAAACAGACATGTGATGTCCCTCCAAGCAAAGAGGAAAAATAACATACGTCAAAACACTCTAACAGTTAAGTAAGTTATCTGTCAAAGGAGCAGAAGCTACGGCTGTGACAAAAAAAAGATATTCGTAGGTACAGCCCTCTTTACAAGTTACTGGTATTCATCCTGGACGAGCGTTCGGTCACTATTTAGTGCGATCAATAGCGCAGTGTTGCTTGGAGGCTAGCCGGTCTCTAAGGTGGCGTTACTGTGAGATTTCTGTTATATGTGGACATGTATTCCCACTGAGACAAAGCTGTTTACGCGCGTGAACGTCTCCAAGGTAATGATTGGATTGTGTATTGGCGCTTACTGCATAATCACGATGCTTGATTTTTTTCAGTTGAACAGAGAGGCTGCACAATTTAAATTCGACTGCACTGGGCCTATTGGATAATGGCATATATTTGAGGCTTCAGGACAATCCTACAGAAACTGTTTAAACATAAAAACAATTAGAGCGGGCTTTGAGACGAAATAGCAGAAATTAGCGTGTAATTACATATTTTTCTTGGGAAGTTTCAATTAGAAAAGTCAAACGATTAGCATAGTTTTGCCTGTATGAATCTAGATACCGTGTTTCGGTCGTGGTAATTACAGATTGCATGTTCTAAAATCCACCAAACCGTTAACGAGGCCAATTGTTGTGTGGAAGCGAGGAGTTTGTTTTCAATTATTTACTACCAAATGGGAAAATAAGAAAGAAAACATCAACATGTGAAGCTTGTACGAAGCTGATAACGCATCGAAACAGTGATTAATCGTTAAAAGGTTAAGCGGTCAAAACTGTACATACGTGTAATTTATACAATGTATTAGCTGTCCATATTATTACAGGTATAGGAGGTAATTTTCAGGACCAACTATTTCGGCTGCTGTGGGAAGGTGCATATAAATAAGCAACGTCAAACTGTGAGATCATTTGGAAAAACTGTCCCACAAGAAAATGGGTCTCTTTTTCAACAAAACGGTACAGGCCAAGCTTGACTTTCGTAGTTTTATCCCTCTCACTGCGCTGTTGTGTTCGGGGGAAAACGCTCTCTGAACCCTACGATCACGTCGAATTGCTGTTAATTCTAAGCTTTAAAAGATCACAACAGATCAGTTGCACTGCAAATCTCAGTGAGACGCCATCTTTGATACAAGACATTGGTGTATTAGTGAGTACGGTTTTTAGCCGTGGAGCATTTTTAGTGGCAGAAATTGCAGCCCCAGCATTAAATTTCCGACACGATAGACTATAGAAAAGATTGTTGGGAAAAATTTATTTGCTTCAATAGAATTATACTGTTCATTTCCATTGGCCAGATGTGCACATTGTACAATAGTATTGGCCACAGGCAAACAAAATGTCGGTACTGGGGCTGTGGACAGAATGTGTCAAAAATAATACTCCTTTACTTTTAGTCACGTGGTCACTCGGAACAACGCCACCTGTGTGCATTTTAAAAAGCGTAAAATATTATAGTTGCTCTGCAGCAATGACAAAATGTTTTATGACAAATTTACGAAGCAAAGGCAATGGGTTGCACCAGCACCATGTAAAATATCTCTTTGGGATGTGTGGTTCTGAAAAGAACTGGAGGGTACTCATCAACGATTTGAACAGTATGATCTGTTTGTCGTCAGCAGACTGTGAAAATTTACGAAGGCCTTCTGTTCAAGCAGATTCGACAAAAATCTGGTAAATTACTTGTTTTTCCCCCATTAAAAAAAGGCACCGAGTTCACATTGCACATTTTGACACTGATCACCTCCGTTGGGTTAGGACAGCTTGAAATCACTGCTGTGGTAGAAAGCCGACCTTGTATGAAATTATGCCTGCATCATGTAATTCCATTTACTAACAACCATTGCAAAAAAAATTCAAAGTGATAGGACGGAAATTGGAAAACCGGACAGAATTTTGTACGCAAGGTGGAATTGGATTGGAAGAGGATGAAGTAGTTCGTCTCCTGCACATCAACGTCATTAAAAATAGGTGCAGCCAGGAGGCAACATTTGGGGATGAGGTTCGTGTTCAGACGTCGCAAACAACGGCCACAATGTCGGGGCAAGCGGCGGCTTCGTGCACTTAAGAATACGGCGGAGAAAATAGACTCATGAGAAGAACACAGCGGTTGAAAAGATCTCGGTCGTGCGGCGGGCCGCGCCGTTTGTGTTTGTCCAGAAAGTTGATCTCCGTGTTGCTGACAGCGCACGCGTGTTATTATTACATACACTGTAGCGCGGGGCAATTGATGTGATTATGTGAGCAGGTGAAAATGACACGCAGCGCTCGTTTTAATTTCATGTCAGCGCAGAGGCAGAGAGAATGAGCAGTCCTTGCATCCTACCTGCCTGTGTTAACCACTGGCAGGGTCTTCATGACAATGATCTGACAGAGTGGCCTATGCCGGTGTACTTCTGCCTCGAGTCCAATTCTCGGATGGTATGTTCGGGAATTGGAGAGGTCTGTTCAAGCATCTTGCTCCGCCACTATAACCTGATGTGTTCGGGCTACTGTTTGCTACCTACACGGTTTGTAGGACTTTTGATATCATAATCACTGAGGAATACTGCAGTTATAAGAGTGATGGTCTTTCTTCACACTGCCTAAAACAATAACGTTTCGTTTGCTTTGATTGAAGAAAAGCTTTTGACGTGGGTGACACGGACATTTAACAGAGTAGGCTTAGTGTTTTTTTCGTTTCAAGGAGAGACTTGGCTTTTGAGGGTGGCGTGCGTACAAACTTCATTAGAAACTGATAAAGGGATTGTGAGGCACACAGGATATAGTTCTGAGAGTCCAGCACGGTCTTGAGTGCTGCTGAGATCATATTCGAGTGAATTTGTAGGCCTACATCAACATGGATGCTTGCTGTCAAAGTAGTATGGGGCACTATACATCAGCAGTAGTCTCGACATTGCCGAATGCCACAGACTTGCTGCTAAATAATACGTGAAGGAATCCGATCCAAAACTGCATCAGGAAATCGTCTTCCTTTCAGAATGGAGAAACAGATCTTTCCCAGGAATTTCCGACGTTGAGGCCTCACGACAAGGATGGAATCTTGACCGGCGACCTTCGGGGAGACCATTCCTTACGGGGACTTTGAGCTGACACCATCCCGCCATAAATATCCCTGGTTACGACGCCAAGTGTTGCCGGCCCCCGCACCTGCGCATGTTTCGGCAACGCGTCAGGGCTCTCACGAGCTTTGTCCACACGTGCTGCTGATTGGTCGACAGATTTCCCCCAGTTGACATTGCTATCCCTATTGGATGAGTGGCTGGCGTCATGACAGCTGGCAGTAATGAATCTCACTTTTCTAGAGTGAGGTCTTTTTTCAAGTGAAAAGGAAACCGGTGATATCATTTCTCACGGCTTTCCCTAGCTGTTACAAACACATCAAAACATGTCACAAAGTCGGTATTGATTTCATGGGCTTGATCTTGGATGACGACAGAAATCTTGAAAGTTTTGCAAAAGAAAATGAGTACAATGACAGTAATAGTAACACAAGTGCACTTTACCGTGGGTACCCTTAATGATTCCAAAAGATTATCCTATGCATGCATATTTAAAAAATCTTACATGAAACAAATGACGATTTGTTTGAATCAAGTACCTAGATAGGCGGTTGAACCTCGTTACACCTAATCTTGCATATTTTTTGCTGGTCCAGACATTGCGTCTTTAAATGTCATCTTTTTAAAGCTCCAGTCCGTGAGCAAGACAACCGCACAAGTAAGTTCT